GTTTGCACAAAGAAGGTGTGAACAGGGGTCATGACCTTGATCGTTCGCTTGTCATGCGTCTGTGGCATGATGTCCTGACAGACCGGGCAGCATACGCAGCAGTCCGCACTTACGGTTAACAATTACAGTGGGTTAAGTCTGCGTTTAATGGTGGCCGTATGGCAGGGTTATAGCTCTCCATACTCCCAGGTCTGGTCGATTATCATTTGCTCATAAAGGGGTTTTGTACATAATCGCTGACAGCTGGTCGAAAAAGAGTAAACAATAACGGTTACCTACTAGTTACAAGTAGTATAAATACATTTAAGCAGGTACCCGGCTAATGTGAAAGGATGTGAGGCTGGTAATTGGGAAGCTTGATACGCGTCAAGTCCAAACTTAAAGAAATTCACACAGGAGGAGGTTGCAACATCGGTAGGCAGGGCGCTCCACGCTGCAACCACTCTGTGAATGAAAAAGACCTTTCGTCCATCAATCCTTGCTTTCCCTGCGCGTAGTTTTAGGGGATGACCGCGCAGAGTGGGCGTGTTAGCTTGAGTGAAATAATCAGTGGGATCTAAACAAAAGTCCAGGCCGTTGATAATGCGAAATATTAGTATAAGGTTTCCACGTATTTGCCTGTAGGAAAGGGGAAACAGATTGAGAATTGACAGTCTGGTTTCATAGGGCAGTGTTCCCAGACCTTGTGTCATTTTGGTCGCTCGTCTCTGAACCTTCTCCAAAACGGTATAGTCCTTGGAAGTCCATTGCCCCCACGCCTGTATGACGCATTCTAGATGAGGCCGCACGTAGGTGCCAAATATTTTGGAAAAGCAGTCTGGGTCGAATCTCATAAATGCTCGCTTGATGTGTTGCAGTGTTGCCATAGCTGATTTAGCGGCCTTCTCGCAGTGGCGTGTTGATTTGAGTGAAGGTGTAATCCATACACCCAAGTCCTTCTGACTGTCAACCTGGTGCAGTGGTGTGCCGTCCAGAAAGTAAGTCCTGGGGCAGGAGACTCTGAAGCTGCCTAGTTGAAGAAAGTTGCACTTGCTTATATTGAAGGCCATAAGCCGGCGCTTCGACCAGTCTTCGAGCCTGTTCAAGTTTGCTTGCAGGTGGTCTGCGTCTGCCGCATTGTGAATAACTTTCCACAATTTTATGTCGTCGGCAAACAGGATGGTATCACAGTCTAGGTACTTGACGCACTCATTTATGAAAACGAGGAATGACGTGGGACCTGAGACTGAGCCCTGTGGAACGCCACTCACCACGCTTACCTCCGAAGTCTGTTGACGCCCGACCTGCACTCTTTGGGACCGTCCAGCCAAAAAGCCCTGGATTTATACAAGAAGGCGTCCACGAACTCAAGCATTACGCAGTTTGTGCAAGAGACTTTGATGGGCAACGCTGTCGAAGGCCTTTTTGAAGTCGATGTAGATTGCATGCTTTGGTCCAGTGTTCGAGCATAAAAAGCAGATTCGTGAGGCAGGACCTACCACTTCGAAAGCCGTGTTGTGCATCAGACAGGAGGTGGTGCTGCTCGAGGAACTTCATCCAGGTCTTCTTAATGATCTTCTCCATGATTTTGCAACAGATGGAGGTATGACTCACAGGCCTGTATTTATTCGCAGACGCACGACTTCCGCCCTTAAAAGTGTCTTTCTTCCTGAACGTGACCATTCGACCGTGTTGGCTCTTCCCTTCAGCCTTCTGCTAGGTAAAACGTCTGAGGAAAAGACTCGGTTCTGTCACAAACGGAGCCCCACATCGATAAGAGTTTTTTGCCTATTTTCGTTTGCAAGATGCATGGCTTACGTACAGTACTCATCTACCGTTCAAGAGTGTTGCAGCCCTTACGAAATTGATGAATGGAATGATGGCTGATTTCCGTAAAACCCTGATGATCGCAGTTGTCTGTTTCTGTCTTAAGAAAATTGCTTCTCGAAAACGCGATCGACATCTGCGAATATTGAAGCACTTTTATAGGTTATGCTGGGGGTTAGCTGTTTAATCTGTCTTCGAAGACCAGAATACGGAAATATCCGTACGCTCAGTTATTCTATTCAGCGTTTTTAATTTTTACGACTACTACTAATACCGCGACTACTACTACTGTCATTGTTTATGCCAGCACTACTAGCACCACAAGGCCAAGATTCATTTATAACATTCCCGAGTCGATTGCGCCAAAACGAACTTCTCAAAAGTGGGTAAGCCAGAGATTTTTCAGTAATCCTTAACCGTGTGCCTGCGGACGACCAGCCCATGTCGGCCAATATACAAGACAGATCGCCGTATTAGGTTCACCACGAGGGTTTCAAATCTTCATACGGGCACTTTTTGACGACGAATGCATGCTCACTGAACGTCTTGCAAAATATGACAAAGTGCCAAACCAGGAAAGATTTCTGCGGCTCGTTGCAGGTATTCTGCGTTGCAGACGCTGGGGATGCTTGTATTTATGAAGAGGGCGTTTGCAACAGCGATAGCGTCTCCAAAAAAGGTAGCGTCAATGCTTAAATGCCCATCTTTAAGAACGATTCTTGTTTTTTTATTATCACGTAAAAGAATAAACGTCGCCGATTATTTGCGTATATACTGTTGGACGTTGAGTTAAAAACAAGTTCAAATGCTACTGTTTAATTTTCGTCAACGCCCCTATAGCGGAGCAATGCTGATTTGCATTGAAATCGTCTAAACATATTCTGACTGCTTCCCAAGGACAGATAACTAAGAAAGGCACATTTAAATTTGGCGACATTCCCTATGCCAACCCTCCTAAACCCCTACCGTCATCGCTCTGAACATCTCACTCAATGTATATTAGATGGCATTTTCATGCAGGACTATGCGCCCATGTAAATAAAAACGGTATTAAGGTCGTATTTCGAAGATGATGTTTCGGCCTGAGCCTCAGTCCTGAGAAGGATCCGCTGACCCCCACTTCCCCATTTGACAGGGTCGAAAACAAAATGTATGTTCTTCATAACGATTTTGATCTTTTTGAATGACGGATGACCAGTGATTCACCAATGTTCACCCTAGCCTGGTGAAGCGAATTATCTAAGCTGCCGATCCTTAAATGAAGTAGATGGTAGATGCACCGGCAAGACAGCCTTTGGCTAACGCATAACGAACTCAGAGATTCTTTCGTACCTGGGAAACCGAAATGATGCATATCGCAGAAAACTACCTCACCAGTCACCTAACATTCCGTGCCTGCAATACCACTTCGGATTGTCACATACCGCTACAATAATCCTTCGATCGAACTGAGAATAACGAGCTTACTGTCCGATATAAGGCCATTCCTGATCTACGCATGTAAACAAAAGATGTCACATACAAAAAGCTCAAGGAGAAGTGGAAGAGACGAAAGCCAATCGATACAGACTGATGTACACGGCGGCCGCCTACTGGCTGAAGGACCAAATACATATTAATCTCAAGGCACTTTTGAAATGTTAGTTGCTTTTGCACGTTTACTCGAGTCTGAAAACGACACGGGGAACCGACATCAAAAATTTACTCAATAAAGTTGTTTACCTTTACCAAAAAACGCATTTTCTTTCAAAAAGGATTTCTTAATTGCATTCCACCCTTCCTCTATATTTTGAATCCGAGTGAACCAGATAACTGATAGCCTGAAACAACTTGTTACTGGGCAGAATGGAAAAGAAACAAAACGATTAACCATTCTTTGTCATGTGCGCTTATGTAGTAATGATCATCTGAAGACAACATCATCTGCGATATGCGCAAATATTCGACAAATATTAGAACTTACCGACGTCCACTTTCAAACCCTGCGGCGCATTTGTGTACCCACATCTTTTCAGTCAGTAAAGACATGTTACAGCGCACTGGTCGGCAAGATAACCGAATCGTTTCCTTTGCTTAGAAAAACGATGAACCAGCAGGTTCCTCAAAATATCCAAACATATCATCAAGTAGCATAGGTGAGATGGACGGTGGTCCGAAACGCAGAAGAGCATGCCTTATATAAGTGGAATGTTCAAAGTGTGCTCAAATTGTTAGACACCCCTAATTATGCATGGTGCAGAAACTATCGGTTTAATTCGGATAACAGGCAGTGGATGAGTAAAACCTCTGCAGATTTTACCATAGCTTAAGTGAAATACGATTTAAGGCAAATCTCTGGAAAAGAAAAAAACAGAAAAATTCAAGGCGATTTGCAGATGAAGGCTGAAGACCAAATTTGAAATCGCACCGTATAACAGAGCATCCGTCAAACGTGTGCTCGCATGCGGAGGCTTATATGTGCTGGGACAATTTGGCATCACAAAGGAACATAAGAGATATGCCACTACATAACGCGCATTTGATAACTTAACAATCTGTCTGTTTAGACTTAAGACACTATGTTCTTTGGACAAGGAAAGAAGAGTTTTGGTAAACTCGACTAAAAAACGATCGGGAACGATCAAAAACGATCTAAAAAACTGTCCCTCCGTCGTCTGGCCACAGAGCGCACTGACGTGAATCGCCTGGATCATCAGACTATATGCAATCCCGCCTCGTGACGTTAACAATTACCCGCGTGCAACTTTTGATGTTTGTAACTGCAATCTCAGTTATGATGCAAGCTATTAGGAACACGTCAAGTCTTATCTACCAGTCCTACATATATCCTTTAATATTCGCAACCCTTATGGAACTTGTGGAAAACATCTTCAAACATACTTTCTTACTGTTCGTATTAGAACATGACCATACATTGTGGTCGTATTGGTTGTGAAGACGTAAGGTGATTATTTTAGACAAGATGCTTTCTGAAAAAGAGACAGCTCTTTGGAAAATCCAGTTGTACGCGTGGATTTTCATGTTAGTGTCACCAATCGCCGTCAGACAAAATGAACAGAGGAGAAAGTGTGATCGGCATACTAGATCGCTTGGTTCGATAGGACAAACATCGACAGACAGAGAACTCATGCATGGGAGGGGTGGGCGCAGGGTTATGGTATGTTTTGGGGGGGAGGCGAGGGAGGGAAGAACCGTTAGAACTCCTTTTGCTGGAGGGGGGAGGAGGAGGGGGAGGTGGAGGGGAAGGAGGAAGGGGAGGATGAGGGGGTGGAGGAGGAGGAGGAGGAGGAGGAGGAGGAGAAGGAGGAGGAGGGGGGGGAGTATGAGTGGTGGAACTGCGGATCAGTGTGCCCAGGAGCATAACGTGATGTTCCTTGACTGCAGGCACCAAGTTTGTCATTCACATAGTATTTCAAGAATTGTCATCTACTTTTATTGATGTCCGACGACGCATACAGCTGCGGGATGACCTTGGTTATTAGTCCTGAAATAGGTGTAAACAATGGCGTTAATTTCCCTCACTCCTGGCTAATTTTGACGAACGCGAAGCACGCAATGGTGCAGATGTCCTTGATTTAATGTATCTCGGTGGGCTCAAGGCGATTCTTCGCTCCATCATATTGTTTAGTTCAACGATCTTGACTTTCCGTGCGTACCTAGCAGTGATTCCGATTGAAACGACCTTCTGCGCTACTAGTGTAACCCTTACACGTCACTTATCCCTTTATACCCCTGTTTCTTACGATGGGTTTAAGGCGGTGTCCTAACTTTAAACAAGGAAAATTATTATTCAACGAGGGCCTCTCATACTTCAGGATTGTTTGTTTGTAGTGTGTGTGGTCCTCGGCTCGATTATCGTGTATGAATGTCATATCACGACAAGTTCCCACTTAAATTACTAGCGAGGAGTTATTATGCATCGCTCGTAATCGTTTCTCTCTTTTTGGTTTGTTTGCATTTCTGTTATTCTGGCTTAATTCACGGCAATCGCGTTTTTTTCGTTTATACGCAAGCCTCCTCCGCTGGCCCATCGCAATATCGGGCATGCAGGCGTATCCTGTCGCTATTTGTAATCTCTTGCTTCATGATAATTTGACATTCAACTATTGTACTGAGACAGTTCAGGGAGAAGGGCATGCGATTAATTAGAATGCAACATCAAAATTCAACAGCACGTTCCAGGAGACTCGACCCAAATAATGCCCAGTAGGATTTAATATCTGCTTGGTTTTAATAAAGCTGAACTGTCTAACGGCGGTCTAATTATATGTCCTATCTGCCAGTCGAATTCTGTGTAACTGTGCTTTGTCCGCTACTGTATACTGCAGTGACTGAATGCTCAGTGGGGAAAATCGGCTTCTGCAGCTCCTGGCGATATTAATGCATATGTGATGTATTTTAAGAATGACATGTAGATCAGTAGGTTCAGAACAGCATGCACAACATTCCCGAACAGAGGTGAGTTTTCGTGAAGCCAACATCGTTACTCGCTTCACAACAATGTAGACAATATGCCAGTAAAGCATGCGTTTAGGAAAGTACAACAGCAGTTGTACCACGTATCTTGCCGAATAGGGGGTTCCATGCCATCAAATTGATAATTGTCCTGTTCTTCAGCCAGATTGATGACGCCAAGTTTTATATATATATATATATATATATATATATATATATATATATATCAATATGCGTGAAGATGCGAGGTCCAGATATATTACCGTGTATATCATCCCCCGAGGAAGACGAAGAAGAGAAATCGATTTCATGGACCAGGTTGTATTCAGACTGACGTTTCGGAAACACACTCGTTTCCATCATCAGAGTCGTGCGCTGACGTTTCCTGCTAGCCTTGATCTGTTCAGCCTTGCCGCCTGCCTCGTATTATAACCGTGCACAGCGCACGTTTGTTGACTAGCCTGCTTTCCGTTGGCTGATTGTCGCCTCCCTGATCTCAGCCATTGGTGGACTGGTGTGGCTTGTGTCCCCCTCACGCCTGACGTGGTTGCCGCGGCGTCGGCGTGCTCGTTCGCCTCCCCCTCGTCAGACGGCGGGCTGATCGGTCTTTGTTTCTCAGGCGTGGTGTTTCCGGCCTCGCGAGTACGTCCGTGAGACGGTGTGCCACGCCGGTAACGTGACATTCGGTAAGCGCCTTCTCCTCTCTCCGCGAGCGTCGGCGGTCGACCCCGTGTGGCTCTGCTCATCCGTGCCATCGGCCCTGCCTGGACTGACTCGAGTCTTGCGCGGAGCGCCTGGTAGGCTGGATGTAGGTCTATGGCCCGGTTGAGTGTGCCAGTCGAGGACCAACTTTCCAGCATTAGTCTGGCCATTTTATCATTGGCTCGGCCGATCACACTTGCTTTCTCGAAGGCAAAACAGTGATTCCGCTCTAATGTGTGGCCATACACCAACGACAGCTTATCCTTGCGGTTGATTGCTAGCTGGTGCTCGTGCAATCTTGTGCCGAGGCGTTTTCCCGTTTCACCAACATACCTGGCATCACAATCTTGGCATGGTATGCTGTAGACCACCGCTGATTGTTCTGTCACCGGGAGCGGGTCTGTGGGCCTCATAATTTGCTGTCTGATTGTTGATGCTGGTTTATGGGCCACACCAATTCCAAACGGTTTCAGAATTCTTGATGTTGCCTCTGAAACGTTCTTCACATAGGGAATCGAGAGCCAGAACTTTGGTTTCTCCTCGCTCGACCGCCCCGAGTGGGACTTCCTGAGACACTTGCGTATGAACGACTTCGGGTAACCGTTGGCTTCAAATAGAGCAC